CTTTCCTATCTTTTAACCAGTTACTGATCCATGAGAGGACCTTCCCTTTTATTCCATGACTGCCTACTTTGCCTAGGAGCCTTTGGTTTTGGACCTTGTCAGAGGCCAAGTACACTTTTGAAAATCCAAGTACACTATATCCACCGGATCACCCTTGTCCACATGCTTGTTGACACCCTCAGAGAATTCTAATAGATTGGTGAGGCATGATTTCCCTTTACAAAAGCCGTGTTAACTTTCCCCCAACATATGATTAATCTGTGTTTCTGATAATTCTGTTCTTTACTTATAATTTCAACCAATTTGCCTGGTACTGAAGTTAGGCTTACTGGCCTGTAGTTGTCAGGATCACCTCTGGAGGCTTTTTAAAAAAATCAGTGTTTTCGTTGTTGTGTGCTTTCTTTCTTGCTGTGTACCTGCTTGATTGAAGTTTATAGTGTGATCTATTTGAGGGGCTGTGTCCTGAGCCTAGTGGCCTGCAAGGCTGAGAGCTTCCACATGAGGTTCTAGCCTGCCATTCTTTGATCCCTAATCCTTTTCGGATCCCTTGTTCATAAACAACCAGAGGAGCTAGCAAACAGGAGCAGGAAACTTTCAGAGGGGCTTTAGAGACTGAGCATGACAGCCAGTTACACCTAATAAACATTCTCTAAATTTAGGCCAACCCCTCCTTTCCCTTCCCCGCCCCCCTCCGCCCCCCAAAAAAGGTGGGGGAAAGAAAACACACACACACAACCCTGCAAGAGTAAAAATCATGCCGGCAGAAGTCCAGCAGCAGAATGGGGGCTAGCCATTTTATTGCACTGAATGCAGCATGTCTAATTACCTGCTTTATGCTCAGGTGGTGTATGTGTGCATTTGGTGCAAGCAGCTCAGAGACCGTGTATGGGCTCTTGAGACCAGAGTTGCTGAACTGGAGGAGCGAAGGGAGATTGAGATATACGTAGAAGAGACTTTCCGGGACACAATAGAGCGGTCCCATCTCTCATCTGACAGCCTCTGTGCTGTTGAGGAGGTTGAAAGTCTGGGAAAGAGAACATCAAGCTGGAGTGGAGGGAAACAATACTGGAGGAGTGAAGGGAGATTGAGAGATACGTAGAAGAGACTTTCCGGGACACAATAGAGCGGTCCCATCCCCCATCTGACCGCCTCTGTGCTGTTGAGGAGACTGAAAGTCTGGGAAAGAGAACATCAAGCTGGAGTGGAGGGAAACAATCCATAGTTGGGACCCTCCTTCTGGATGATGCCATGGTACCCTCTCACACTGAGTATACCTCTCTGCAGGAGGGGACCGCTGTTACTATGAAGAGAGAGGTACACCTCTACCCCGATAGAACGCAACCCGATATAACACGAATTCGGATATAATGCGGTAAAGCAGCGGGGAGCCCCGGGCCCTTTAAAGCGCCACCCGAGTCCCGCTGCTTTACCGCGTTATATCTGAATTCGTGTGGAGCCCAGGGCCCTTTAAATCCCCGCCCGAGCCCCGCAGCCAGAGCTCTGGCAGTGATTTAAAAGGCCTGGGGCTCCTCACAGCAGCGGGAGCACTGGGCCCTTTAAATCCCCGCCGGGGCTCTGGCAGCCGGGCTTGGGTGGTGATTTAAAGGGCCAGAGGCTCCAGCCGCTTCAGGGAGTTCCGAGCCCTTTAAATCCCCATCCGAGCACCGCTGCCAGAGCTCCGGCGGTGATTTAAAGGGCCCGGGGCTCCCTGCAGCGGCTGGAGCACCAGGCCCTTTAAATCACAGCCGCGGAAGCCGGTCCAGTCCGGCACGGCGTACTGGCTCTTGCGGTACGCCATACTGGACCGAACCCTATATAATGCGGTCTCACCTATAAGGCGGTGAGATTTTTTGGCTCCTGAGGACCACGTTATATCGGGGTAGAGGTGTAATACTAATGGGGGAATTGATTACTAGAAATATAGTTGGTTAGTAAGTGACTGGGAGAACAGCATGGTGAATTGCCTGCTGGGTGCAAAGGTTGAGGTCCTCTCAAGACAGCAAGACAGACTTAGTTGCAGTGCTTCGGAGGAGCCAGTGGTCATGGTATATGTAGGTATGCATGACATAGGGAAATGTAGGAGAGAAAGATCCTGGAGGCCAAATTTAGGCTGCTACATAAGAGATTAAAGTCTAAGAACTCCACGGTAGCATTCTCTGAAACGCTTCCAGTTCTATGCGCAGGGCCAGTTAGATGGGTAGAACTGCAGGGTCTCAATGTGTGGATGAGATGTTTGGAGGAGGGATTTAGGTTTGTTAGGAACTGGGTTACCTTTTTGGAAAGGAGGTGCCTATACAGGAAGGATGGGCAATGCCTAAACCAAAATGGAACCAGGTTACTGGAATGTAAATTTAAAAGCTCATAGAGGAGTTTTTAAATTAAGGGCTGGGGAAAAGCCAACAGAGGTAGGAGAAGCCTATGGTTCGGACAGACACATCCCTTAGAGGGAGGATTTATTAAAGTGGATATTTTATATCCTAGTAAAGAGGAGAAGAGAGAAGTTGATAAAGTACAGGTAGGAAATGAATAGAAAAAGTTCAACGAAAGAGAGTCCTATTCAATTACATCACATGAGGGCAGACAATTAAATATTGACAAATTTTATAAGTGCTTGTTTACAAGTGCTAGAAGTCTTAAGTACTGAGATGGGTGAAATTGAGTGCCTGGTATTACATGAGGATATTGGTAATTAGTTTCCCATAATCACAAAATTCCCAGTTGTAGTATTTAATTAAAAATACTGAAAAGGTCTCTATCTACACATCAGATCCCAGGGGATTTGTAGCAGACTCTAAGCACTATCCCAGTGGAACCTCTGTTATGTTTCTTCCCTAAAGTGATTTTGACCCAAACAGATGCCATTTTACCCATTCCATCACTTCTAATTTCTTTACAGTCTACCTTGCCATTAATGTACAATGCTGCTCCACCACCTTTTCCTTTACTTCTGTCTTTCCTGAACAGGACATAACTTCAATACCTGTATTCCGGTCATGACTACTATTTTACCATATTTTTGTTCTCCCTATATCCAGCACCAGTAGTTCTAGTTCCTTCATTTTGTTACCCAGGCTCCTTGCATTGATATACAGACATCTTATTTGTTTTTGCTTGGCTTCACGCAGATTCTTCGCCTGATTAGGTATAGTCGTTTTACTGCCAGTATTGCCTACCTCACTGTTACTGTCAGTTATGGTGGCACTGCCTTTCCTCTTGTTGTCTATTCTCCTACACTCTGTTCTTCCTTTATCCATTGCTGTATCCTCTTTTACTTGATTTTCCTCCTGGTTAATGTGTGAAGATTACATGAGTCTCTCCCAACTGTCTCCCTCGAATTCTTAGTTTAAAGTTCTTCTAATGAGACATGCCAACCTCCATCCCAGAAGTCTATTTCCCTCCCTACTCAGGTGGAGTCCATCCCGTGAGAACAGTCCCTGTGAATGCCTCCCAGTGATTGACCATCCCAAAGCCTTCCTCATAGCACCACTGCCTGAGCTGTCTGTTGATCATCATAATCTTGTTTCACCTTCACTCTCCTTCTCTACAGACAGGTGGAATCCCAACCATAGAATCATAGAAGATTAGGGTTGGAAGAGACCTCAGGAGGTCATCTAGTCCAACCCCCTGCTCAAAGCAGGACCAATCCCAGTGTAGATCATCTGAGTCTCCCTTTCTTTAAGCGTCTTCCCCAGCCTGGCATAGTCTTCTTTGGTGTTTCCAAGTGAGAATCTAGCAGTACCATTTGTTCCCATGTGAAGGACAATTAGTGGATCCTTTCCTGCTCCCATTAGGATCCTCTACAGCCTCATGTCCACATCCTCTATCTTAGCTCCCAGCAGACAGAACACTCATCTGTGCTTGGGATCAGCCCTGGTGACAGGTGGTCCATTTTTCTTAATAGGGAGTCCCAGTCACATAGATCTGCCTCTTTCTGGAGTCGGTGCAATTCTCCGGCATTCCCCCTTTTGTTCTTTTTGGCTACAAATTGTCTTGTCTTCTGTTCCCCCTTGCAACCTTCTGAGAGCTCCTGGGGCTCTGAACTCTAGCTATCTCCATTGTCTCTTCCCCTCTTCTTGTAGACTAGTAGCTCTTCTCTTCTTCCTTGTTCTCCCAGCCTGCCTCTCCCTTTCATTTTCCAACTCAGCAAACCTGAGCCTCAGCTCTATTTCTCATTTACTAGCCTGTTTTTTCCTCAGCCTTGTTCTTATAATCATATGCTTCCACTGCCACTTTCCTTATCCAGCAATCTATCCTTACAGTTCTCTGATCCAGGCATGCACTTGCAAGTCCTGACGTTCCCCTTTAGCCTCCTCTTTCCTTTCCTCTGTTAGCCACTCAAATCCCCTTTGAAACTCAACCATAGTTTCTAGATGCATCTCCAAACTTTGGATCTTCTCTTCCAGTGGCCCTACCAGGTGGCATGTCATAAAAATGAAACATCTTTCAGGTACCCCCTCCATAATAATGTACATCCTACAGTTTCCACTTCCAGTCATCTTCATTGGGAACCAATCAGCACTACGACCCACAGTATTGCTAATGCTGTTGGAGGTGGTTCGGTGTTAATGATGGTTGGAAAATTTGAGATAATTTGTTAGAGCAGAGAAGGCCTTGGCCTCACTACCCCATTTGTAAAATGGAGATTACAGTATCTTATTATGAGACATGTTGAAGCTGCATCCTTTAATGATTATGAAGGGCTGTGAGATCCTTGCGTTGAAGGTACTATTTATATAAGAGTGAATTGTTATTGTTGGTAAGGTTTTGGGATGGCCAGCTGGACTAATAGTTTGGAAAGAGTCCCTGGCTTCTTTCCTCAGGATCAATAGGATAATTTTCATTTAGCGTGGCAGAATGTTCCTTCATAGGGGCAGTCCTATGTTAGTTGCAGCTGCAGGGGGAGAGGAATACAGGGTTTCACGCTCAGCAATGTCACATACTTCCAGTGATCACCAGTTAGAACCACTTCAGAAAATGCTAACATTTGGGATATTTTTCAGGGTCTTAAGAACCAGACGCAGGTGAAACTGAACATTGTCAGCTGTCCTCCTGTTACAACCGTCCTCATAAAACGACCAGACCTGAAATACCAGCTGGGCTTCAGTGTACAGAATGGAATCGTAAGTTTGTACTTTAATTGTTTATGGCTTTTATGTGGAAACATGTTAAAAAGCTAAATAACTGGAATATTAAAAAAACAAAAACATATTATGTACTTTTTATGCACTTTGAACCGTTTGAGCTTCCTGGTTTATCAAGTAGCCTTGCAAGCAGTATATTTCAGAGGCAGATTGTTACATCTGTATGTTGTGGAGATAAGTGTGTGTGTGTAATGTTGTTTGTTGTAGCATGTACCCAAACACAAAGTAAACATTTGATTTTTAGGAGATTGGATGTCCTAGCATCTGTCTAGCAGAAGGAACAGATGGGAGGGTGAGAGAAGTAAAGTAGCAGTCAAGGATGTGACAGGCTGCTGATGTGGGGCATGCAGTGCAGTTAGGCTGTGCCAGTTGTTGAGGTCAGTGAGACCTAAAGTCAAAGCGTAAGTCCCATCCCTGAAGTATTCATTGCTGCTGATAGGCTTGAAGAGAAGGGGCTGTTCATAGCCAGTGAAAATTTGTGTAGAGCTTGTATGTGAGCTTGAGTCATAATCACTAAGACCATCATGCCATCAGGATATCTGTTTTCTGAGAATTCAGTTTGTCTGATCTGTACCCATATTCCACAAACACAGGACCTCTATTTTTCCATTTTGATCCCTTGATTTATCAAACCTTCTTATTAAATCTACTGTACGTCGACATCCTTAAATCTACTACCCCTTTGTCTGTGCTTCCTCTGATCTACTATATACGATGTGGTGCTATGCCCGGTAAAACCTTTTAATTAGTAATATAACTTTAAATGTTGTTTGTAACATCTGTGGTGCTTCCCTATTCTGGGAATAAAGAATATTGTAAATACACTGTAAATAAAAGTAGAAGCATTGAATGGCAAGTTTTAAAGATTGTGCCCAATGCACATGCAGTGGAACTTACTTACATTGGAGCCTGTGGAGAAAAGGGTTCATTTTCAGAGGAAAAAGAAGAACAGGAGGACTTGTGGCACCTTAGAGACTAACAAATTTTCAGAGGAGTTTCACAATAAATAGAGCATCCACTATTTAAAAAAGGGAGCTAGGAATAAGCCTGCTTCTCATCTTCCACTACCCTGCCAGTATGATATCTTTTTGCCTACAACTGGCTCTTTTACTCTGTTGTTTAGCTCTGGTAGTGGGTTGGTTTTTTGTTTGTTTGTTTGTTTGTTTGTTTTGATCCTCTTACTTTTTTTATTTAGGGTATACATTTAATTTGAGCCTCTATTGTGGTGTTTTTAAATAGTTTCCATGCAGCTTGCAGGCATTTGTGTCTTGTGACTGTTTTTTTTAAATTTCTGTTTAACTAGCCTCCTCATTTTTGTGTAGATCCCCCTTTTGAAGTTAAATGCTACTTGTGGTGGGTTTCTTTGGTATTTTCTCCCCTACGGGGATGTTACATTTAAATTACATTATGGTCACTGTTACTGGGTGGTTCAGCTATCTTCACCTCTTGGAGCAGATCATGTGATGAATTTAGGATCAAGTCAGGAAATGCCTCTCCCCTTGTGGGTCTAGGACTAGCTGCTTCAAGAAGCACACATTAATGTACTCAGTCTATCTGGAGATAGTTCAAATCCCCCATTATTATTGGGTTTTTGTTTTTGTAGCCTTTCTAATCTACCTGAGCATTTCACATGTCAGGGAGATCCTGGCCAGGTGGTCAGTAATATATTCCTATTGCTATACTCTGACTAGTCAAGCATAGAATTTCTGTCTGTAGAGATTCTTTGGTACAGTTTGATTCATTTAAGATTTTTTATTAAATTTGACTCTATGCTTTCTTTCACATATAGGGCCACTCCTGCACCAATGTGACCGCCTGTATATTTTGTACCGTTATTACTGTGTCCCATTGATAATCATTGTGCCACCAAGTTTCTGTAATACCTATTATATCAATGTTCTCATTGAATACCAGGCACTCAAGTTCACCCATCTTAGTATTTAGCCTTCTAGAATTGTATACAAGCACTTATAAAACTTGTCAATATTTAGTTGTCTGCTTTCATGTGATGTAACTGAATGAGAATCTCTTTCATTGGACTGTTTCTCTTCAGTTCCTACCTGTACTTCATCAACTTCTATCCTCTCCTCTTTACTAGGATATAGAGTATCCCCTTTAATAAATCCTCCCTTAAGGGATGTGTCTGTCTGAACCGTTTGCTTCTCCACACCTGTCAACTTTCACAGTTCCCCTCTGAATCCCTCCGAAGCAGTTCTGGAGTGAGCTTGGGCAGAATGGGGGAGTAATGGGCACAGATGGGAGCATGTGAAACATTTCTCCCAACTACAGTCAGAGAAGCTAATACAGACTGAGGCACAGTCTGTATTTCTCTCCCCCTCGCCACTTCCTCACCTCCTTCATCTCCACACACTTACCACCCTAACTGAATTGTCAGTGTCACAGCTGTTTCAGTCCATGGTGGTTTGGCTCCACCTAGTGGACATTTACCATGTTCACCATTTGGTGTATGGTCATAATTCAGTTTGAGTTAGTCTCAACATTCACAATTACCAAATTCACGAAACAAGTCTCCGCATTTATAGTAAGCGGTGAAGAATAAGAAGGCCCTGCAATGCAATTCAGTTATGAAAAGTCACAATTTGGATTTGAAGGCCAAGAACAACTGGCACACGTACTCTAAGTTTGATTTATATTTTAAAATATGTGCCTTTAATAATGTAACTCTCTTATCATTTGACTCTTTGCATTTTAAAAAGTAGAATTTTCTAATTACTAGATATGTGATTATAAAGGATCACTGGGCTCAAAAAAAACAACAACAAAAAACACAAAACACAGGCACTTTTTCCTCTTGATTCAGCATTAGCTTAGAGAAGGGATAACTTGCCTGAATGGCTGTAATTAAATGTCCTCCACTTCAGTGCCATTATCTTGTTATGCATGCATCTGCTAGTTATTTACATGCCTCATCAGAACACAGGCTTGCTGTATTTGCTTTCATTCTGCTTATCTCCTTTGTGCAGGATGTAAAGCCATTACATTCCTGAATGGTCTGTAAACAACCTGAATGTAATTTAAAAAAAAAAAAAGCTTTTTAGGCTGGGTTTTGTTCCCATAGCACATCAGACAGACGTGTACGGTTGGGAAGGATGAAAAGCAGGCAACTGCAGCGCTTCCCTATCTCTGTAGGATTTAATTTCCTTGCTCAATGCAGAGCTGTGCTCTGGGAGACACTTTCTGGTGCTCTGCAAACAGTTGGCTGGTCAGGTTGTGCTAGCTTCCCTGGTTTCCAGCTGAGGGAACTGGAGCAAATGGAAGGAGATGAAAGGAGCAGAAGTAGAAAGTGTAGAACAAAAGCAAACCGTTCTTGCTCCAAAGTCAGCTAAAAATGCATATGTGATGGAAGACGTGGCTGTAGTTGCCACAGAGATGCTGTGTCATCATGAATGGGGAGGGAGGTGAACATGAGACAATCTCTCTCAAGATGTGGTTCACCATTTGTGCAAAAGCTTGGGAGCAACTTGCTTAGAAATGATGAAGGCATTTAAATGTAATAATTCCCCTCTAAAGGGGCATTATGTTTGTGGTTCATGGGTTATATCAGGTTGGTGTGTGTCCAGTCCTATCTTTACTATTGATATTTATCACTTTTCATCTATAATTTCAAAGCTCTTTACAAAAGAGGGGTTCTGTTTTAAAAGTGCAGTAAAATGGCTGTAACTTAGCAAGTGATTAATATTTTATTTTTTCCTTCATCTTACGCTTATATATAGGGAATTCCCCCTTTCATGTATATTTAAGATATACACTTAACAAAATGTGTGCTGCAGGATTTAAATACATGCAGTACCTAACATTCAAAATTATTTCAGTGAAAAAATAAATGCTGTATCAGGGTTTAGCCATTTGCTCTGAATAAATGGTTGAAGAGCAAAGAATTTAACTGGCAGAGTTTTACTCTTAATATATTCCTGTCCAGTACACAGTGGGAAAACTGGAATAAAATTAGTTATTTATGTAAGTGCTAAGGTTTTCCCTGTATTACAGCTTGTCACTTAACACAGTGGAAAATCTGTAACAGATGAAAAAAACCATACAGATTTAGTTCTATCTTTGTTCTGCTACTCCCCCCACCCCCATTCCTCCAGAAAATAGGATATAGGCCAGAGGTGAGTAAACTACGGCCCGCAGGCCACATTGGGTCCGTGGGACCCTCCTGCCCGGCCCCTGAGCTCCTGGCCCTGGAGGCTAGCCCCCGGCCCTCCCCCGCTGCTCCCCCTCCCTCGCAGCCTCAGCTCACTGTGCCGCCGGCGCAATGCTCTGGGTGGAGGGGCTGCGAGCTCCTGGGGCAGCGCTGCTGCAGAGCCTGGCCTGACCCAGTGCTCTGTGCTGCACGGTGGTGTGGCTGGCTCCCATGGCTGCCTGTCCTGGCGCTCTGGGCGGCGCAGCTGTAGCGCCACCAGTCACCGGTGCTCCAGGCAGCGCGGTAAGGGGGTAGGGGAGTTCCGGGTGGTAGTGGTCAGGGGGTGGGGTTGTGGCTAGTGGTTGGGGCGGTCAGAGGGCGGAGAACAGGGGGGTTGAATGGGGGTAGGGGTCCCCAGGGGGCAGTCAGGAAGGAGGGGGGTTGGATGGGGCAGTGGGGGGCAGTCAGGGGCAGGGGTTCCGCAGGCAGTCAGGGGATAGGGAACAGGGGTGTATGTGGATGGGGCAGAGGTCCCGGGGGGCGAGAAGCGGGGGGAGTTGGATAGGGGTTGGGGGCCAGGCAATACAATTTCGGAAACCCAATACGGCCCTCAGGCCAAAAAGTTTGCCCGCCCCTGATATAGGCTCTTGATCACAAGAATTAGATCCAGATCAATCATGCTTTATTTAATCATCTCTGGGGCTGTCACCATGTTCAACAAATACAGCAAACTATAAACATCCTGGCTCAGTACACCTTTGCCTGAACTTACTTAATGGTAGTACCCCTTTTCTGAACTTGTCAATTGAATCTGGTACTGTGGCCACATGGACTA